TGTAAAAGTATCATTGATTAGATACAAAGTTAAAAAAAACTAATTCTCGGATTTCATGACTCATCCTAAGCCATACAATTTGACATTTAATGAGTGGAAATAGTTGTGACCTCCTTGTACAAAAAGTAAATGGTTTTTTTGTAGACAATCCCATTAATCAAAGTTAGTGAAACAAATTACTATGGATTTTTTTTTTTCTTCCCGAAACGTTCATACCAATCTTGATTGGGGAGCAATTCACACGACCAATAAATTGCAAGAAGCAACTCTTATGCATTTATCAAAACCATGGATCTGGTCATAGATGTGCCCTGACATTTACATTCATGCAGGTTCTGACTAGTTTGAATAGTGTATTCTTGTTTGGCTAGGTATTGTAGGAAAGCTTGCACCTTAGGCTTTCTTGAAGTTGACTGAGGTTAGGACCTTGACTCCTGTCGGTTTCAGGGTGGATAGAGGACTTGCCCCTATGGTGACTAGAGACATGACTGGGTGCCCCAGTCCTATGTGAGCCTTGACTTACATGACCTTTGACCGGTTGGTTATTAATGTTAGAATGATGGGATGGCAACTGACCACCAAGGTTGATTTGGAGATTTGACCTACCTTGGCTACTCTGATCTAACTTACGACTAATACCCATGTCTTGGAGAATCATGCCTCACCCAATTCTCTAATTATCTAGGGTGCCACCACAAAGAGATATGGGCTTAGTGTTGAGGTGTAAGCCCATTTTCATTGAGAACTCGCTTGTCTCTCCACTAGTTGTCCATACACTAGTTAATGGTCCCTAATACATATTTCACACTATGTCAATATAGCCTTTGGTGATTCCTTTATTTTCTTACACCCACCTAATTAAATCTCGAAGTATCCTATCATATGCTTTCTCAAACTCAATGAAAACTATATGGAGGTATTTTTCATTCGTTCTGAACTTCTCAGTCAGTTGCTTAAGTAAAAAAATAGATTTGATAGCTGTAATAAATATATTATTACATATTATATAATTTTTAAAATATATATTTTAACATATTTTGGGCAAGAAAATATTTTAGGCACTCCAAGCCTGTCCCAAAAGCCAACGGGTCAACCTAGGCCTTTAGCATCCCTATCAATATTAGTGAGGCATTTTGCCCAATTCGGTCAAAAGTATCTTAAATCCCATGTAAGAATGTACAACATATCATTTAAAAAAGCAATAAAATAATAAAAAAATGACTAAAATATCATTTTAAAAAATACTAGCCTAGCTTTACATTTTATTAATTTCCCTATGAGTTCAGCGCTTTCTTGAAAATGCATTTGCATCTTATTGTCTTACGGTTTTGAGGTAGAACTACTAGTTCCCAGATATAGTTTTGGTTCATGGAATTCTATTAATCATTCATGGCTTCAACCCAATGATTCTTTTCAGAATAAACTATGATTATTGGTAAGTTGAAGCTGGCTCGTCCCCAAGCCTCTCAAAGTGTTAGTAAAGTATTTAGGTGATTTACTAATTCAATTGCTTCTTCTAGGTTAGGGTTCGGGTTCTTGATATTCGACCTTGTCATTAGTCATTTCATAGAGATTTGTTTGCTTGTGACTCACTTTTGCTTTGAGGAACTCATCCTCAAAGAAGTGAATGTCTAACTCATCCTCAAAGAAGTGAATGTCTCGGCTCTCAATGACCACCCCCAATTTTCAAACACGGACAATGACAATATACTAGTATCCTCCGAACCTCTGCTGCAAGCATAAAAATAGCAGATAACTGCAATCATAAAAATTTCAAATAGTGGGATTATGCAGACCATTCTCTCACTCGCTTCGGCATTCATGCCATGGATCAATCTTTAGCCCCACTTATTACAAAAACAAGACCTGTCAAGCAAGGTGCCGCATTGACTGAAAGCCTTTCTGTGGTTAGTGCGGCAGAATATCTCTATGAATAAAACAACTCAGGAAAAGAGGAATTATTATCATCACTGTTGGCCTGCTATACAGAAGTGAAGAGGAAACTGACGCACATATTTTTAAAAATTGCCCTATAGTGGGAGTGTTGTGGTACTGGATCATGACCATTTTAGAGTAGAGCTGCATTAAGGGTGGCAACATGTCGGCTTAGGTCAGGTCCGATTGGACCGAAACCCGAAAATATACTATGGGACCTGGACCAAGACCCAAAAATATAATGTAGGACCCAAACCCATATCCAACAGATCTGACCCTAAAATCAAAATAGCTATATATTTAAATATATTTCATAAATATGTTAAATATATATATTATTTAAATATTATATATAAATATATAATTATGTTTATTTAAATGATTATATACATACAATGAGACCATTTATCTTTGGTACAAGGAGGTATGTGAAATCTGATAGTTTGGGTGTGTCATAAAGTTCGAGAAAATTTCTTTTAAACTTTGAACTTGGCCAATGAAATAAATGCAGTCACCCAATTTCACAGCCAATGGTCAAGATTAATTGTGACCACCTTGTACCAAAGGTAAATAGTCTCATTATATACTTTCCCTTATTTAAAACGTTATGTTAGGGTGCTCACACCATAGAATAATTTATTATTGTACTCAATAATTTTTGGATACGTGTATATCATTGTTTTGTCCATGAGTTTGTTTTTTTTAGTAAAAGTATATTTAGTCATTAGGGGGTATGACATCATCAGCATAATGTGTGACATCACCTACATGGAGCATTAAATACCACTAGTTGGGTGATGTCACACCCCTCTTAATAACAAAAAATACCTTTATTAAAAAAGTCATCCACATAAAACAAGAGTATATAAATGTCCAAAATTCTCTATAGTATGAACACCCTAAAATAACCCTTAATTAAATATAGAAAACGTTTATGTAGAGCCGAGGCTCTAAACAATCAAATTAGAGCCCACCTCAAAAATTCAGTAGAAGATGTTATTTTGATGCCCAAATATCCTCAAATTGATCATCTTGACATCAAGAAGCATGGACATGAAAAAAAAAAAGAAAAAATGGATTTCAAGTTTTGGAAATAGTGCATCGTGTAAAGCATTTTTGGACCGTCTATTTCAAGATTTTCAAATTTTCATATATCTGCTCAATCTACACTATTTTTAAAGCTTTAAATTTTATAATTAAAGATGAAAATATATTTGAAGGCTATCACAAAGATTTCCAGTATTAAAATCATATTTCTCGATACTATTTGAAGGTATGCTTTACTTTGATTGTTTAGAGCAAAACCACACCTTTAAGTATTATTTAAATATCATATATTAAATATATTTTTAAATATCATAACTATTCAAGTTAGGTCCGGGTCGGGTCTACATGGACCTGAACCCGTACCCATAAAATGTTCAGGTCCAAGATTTGGACCATACCCAGATCCGGGTGAAGTCTATAAACGTGTCTCAGGTTGGATCCGGTTCCATTACCTCCCTTGAGCTGGATCCAACCACAACTTGAGCAATATTTAGAGCAAGGGTGGTCCCCCATTCTCGACACCAAGCCCAACGATTGTGTAATTACAATGGCGGCAATACTTTGGAACCTGTGGAAGGAGAGGAATTACAAAATTTGAGGGTACGTCTAGAGTGGTATACCAAATACAACAAGAATTACCAAAAGTTTTGAGGGTAGGTCTAGGGAGGTACACCAAATACAACCATCTTTCATTTCCTTCGTCATAATATGAGCGCAAGGTCGTCAGGCCTTTGAAGAAGTCCCTAAATGGTTATTTGTAAACAATGTTAGAGAAAACTCATCACAATGGAACACACCTGAGTCATGGGTCGAGCTTAACTTTTAACTTTGATGGTAGTATGAGAAGTGGGGGGTAGATGGGATATAGAAATAGGTTAAGGGATTCTAATGGAAGGTAAATTCATCCCTATGGCATTAATGAGGCAGAACTGTAGGCGTTAACGCTTTGGTATTATCAGATTGGACCCTAATCATTCCATGGTAATTGTGGAGGAAGATTCAGCCAGTATTATAAATTGGTATAAATTTCTAGATCAAGCATAACGGGCGTAGAGCAATATTATCGACGAAATCCTTTAGGGTTACAAGGACGAAAGGTACCCTTCAATCATATCAACTGAGAACAAAAGAGGTCGGCAGATGTCCATGCAAAAGAATCAAGCGGTGGCTCAATCCTTTGAAAGCTCTAGCTTCCTAACCTTCTGTTCTCATGTACGAACATGGATTGGACGTGCCCCCTCCCATACATATCTATACAAATAGTATTAACCCATTTATACAGAACGGTGAAAGGACTCAACCCTTATATAATCATAAAGATTAATAAAAATTTGAAGGATTGTTTTTTTCAGCTCATCCGTTGGAAGCTTCCCCAATGAATAACTAGATAGGTAAGGTACCTGAATCGCCTTTGAAAGTAAGAAGAGTTCATGGCCTGGAGTTGTTCCGCTTCAGTAGAATATCTTCAATCACTCCCGAGCTATCAACTTGTGGAGGCATTTGATCTCATTTTCGATTAGCAGTACCTCATTGTTTGAATTTCCTTTCCATGCTTTCATTGTAATTGTAACTTTCATTTCCTCAAATGAAATCTGAGTTAACTTTTCAGGAAAAATAAAAAATAAAAAACAAATCCACTAAAGAATTTGTTTCACTAACTGCGAGCCAGCCAGCCCATTGCATATCAGTGAGAGAGCTCCCAAACTTAAGTACAAAAGCGTCTGGTATGTACAAAAGAGGAAAAAGCGTCTGGTACGTACAAAAGTCCCACCACATATATTCAGCGTTGCACACTCAAACCACAAAAGTGAGAGTGCTCCCAAACTTGAACAGATCCATAAATTAAAAACCAGCGGCAATTTTGGTAGAATACATTCAAACAAGATTGGTGCTAACCAGAAAGGATTATTTTTTTTATTTTCTATCCAATTAAACAATTGGGATCAAGATCACCACTACTGGAAAAAAGAACGAAAATAAAAACTAAAATGCAAGCAACCAAAATTGTGGGAGAAAAATTAGTGCTCTACAAAACCACAACTTTCCTCCATTGCCCACGGTGAGTTTAAATGAGCCTATCCTAAATATTAGCAAAATTTGTTTGGATCACTAGGAGACAATCTCAACCGAAATAGAAAAACAGCTCAATATCCAGGTTTTCCAAATAAATAAACTATATGGAAAATATTTTAAATATCAAGACCCAAATATTTTTCATGCCTCTAAACTTCCTTCTGCCTCATTGCTTACAGCCTCTGTAACACCAACTTCAGCAGGGCGAATAACCCGATCATAAAGTGTGTATCCCGACTGCAAAAAAAAGGTAAAGACTCAGTCTCCAATGCAAACAAAATACTGCACCCAAGTTTAAATAACATGAAAAAAAGAAAACTGTAACTGTAGTTACTGGCCCACATGTTAATGATAATAGCAAGACTTTTTTAAAAGCTCGAGAAGCACAATAGAAATATAAAATTAAGCCAAAATATTAAGGTCTATTGTTCTTCTCCATTAACTACTAAATCTTTCTATTGTAAGGTGTTTTGTTTTTCTCAATTAACAAGTAATAATAATCATTTTATTTTGCTCAAAGAAAAGTAATAACCATTTTACAATTGTTCAGTTAATAATTAACTTCATTACTAGCAACTGTTAAGTGGGAAGATATAACTGCGGGCATTAAGGGGCTGGGATGGACTGCGGGCTTTCAGTCGGGACCCAGTTTCGCTGGATATGCCCATGGCCCAGTATGGGCCAGCATATTTTTGTGGCCGAGCCCAGCCAAACTATTTCATAAGCTTTTAAAATATATATTTTTCCTACATCTACAAACCCACATTTGCAAAAGGCCCAGCCTGGCCAGAGTTTTGAGGGTTTGGACCTCATAGGCAATATGTCAAGCTGGGCCTACTTACGTGATTTCAACCCTGGTCGGGCCTGGGCTGTTAACAAGCCTACAACTAAAACATTAAAGTTTATAAAAGCCAGGGCAGGCAATGCCACCTGAAACATGCTTTTCTCATTTATCTCATAAAAATTCACACCGATTCTATGATAATTAGTCAGTTCAAAACACAGGCACAACTATAGCATATTCATTTATCAGAGCTTCAAGTGAAATGTCTTTCTTTAAACAACTTGAATGAGTCTACAGAGGCAACCATCAAGTCATTAACTTTTTTTTAGTCTGAACTTTATTTCCTTCTCTAGAAAGGTAAACAGAAATCAAATAAGACTTCGGATTTCTGATTTCTTAAGGAAATATAAGAACTATCGAGTCATTTGAATGTTTGAACCCTTAATCCAGCCCACATATTTAGAAACTCATATTCTCTCAAAGAACCAAGAAATAAATAAAAGATACATGACTTTTTATGGATATCCAATCCATAGTGCGAAAACTTGTAAAACCTAAATTTTTTCTCAGGGAAAAATTATTTGAAGAGCACAAAGGTGGAAATTATCATACACCCAAAATAGTATAATTATTTACTATCTTTTTTTTAAAAAAATTCATTTACTATCTTTTTTAAAGTATAATATCGTATTATGTTTCATTGGATCTGTGTTTTTTAAGGAACTTTTGTTGCTTATATTTGTTCTAATTTTTCATCTTCGTGACTTGGTCAACTGGATCAGGTCATGGAGCCTGCTGAGATGAGTTTTTAGGTCTATCTCTAATGTCAAGGTGTACAGGGGAAAAGAAGGTACAAGCAAAAAGAAGAACATGCCTTTAGAAGCTTGTAAATTAGGGCATGAGTCCCATGCAGATTCTACTTTGGTTCTACCCTCCGTATTCTATTTAGTTTTCCATATTGCGTTTAGATTTTCTTTGAAGGTTATAACTTTCATCTCCTTTTGACTTAATTTTCAGGGTTGGTTAAATTTCTACATGTTAGTAGGATTTCCTTTCAAAAATAGGAGTGAAGATTAGGATTATTCATAAATCATGCAGAAGAGTAGGAGTTCAGATCAGAACCTACATGAATATAAATGCAAAGGGCTCGCCTATGACCAGATCCATGCTTTTGATAAATGAATAAGAGTTGCCTCTTGCAATTTATTGGTGGTGTGAATTGATCCCCCGTCAAGATTGGTATTATTCATAACCCACGTAAGAGAAAATTAGGAGTTGAGAACCTGAATGAATATAAATGTATAGGCCAAGGCCTATGGCCAAACCCATGCTTAAGATTAGGAGTTGTGAACATCTACAAATGCAAATGTAAAGGCCCATTCCTATGCCAGATTCATGCTTTTAAGAACTGAATAAGAGTTGCTTCTTGCAATTTATTGGTGTTATGAATTGATCCTCCTCATTGATTTCACAAACCATAGCTTTGTTGTGGTTCTCATTCTGTACCCAAAACTAGGTCCTCAAGATACTTTTGTTTATCCCATGAGCATTTCATCCCTCTCATCTCAATCTGATACTCCATACATCTATCTCATCACAATCCACAACAACAAACATCCACCATTCTCATCAATCCCTAAATCCCATATGACATCACCCTTCATACACCATAACCAACCACAACTCTCAATTCAATCCTAAACCATACCAACCTTCCATGCCACCTCCAAGAAACCATAACCAAGCTCCGCACCCTCACCATCTAGATCAAGCCATAGATGAACCCAAATCCATGCCAATGACCCTAGACTCGCCTAAGCTCATCCACTCATTTGAATTCATCATCACCATCATTTTAGCCTTTTCCCAATTAATTGGGATCGGCTACATGAATCCTGGTTCTCCATTCTGCTCTATTAAAGGCTATATCCTCAATGAGGCTATAAGTCCCCATATCTTTTCGGACTACTTCCAACCACGCCCTTTTGGGCCTACCTCTTGCCCTTTTCAGTCTTTCCACTTGAACTAACTCACACCTCCTAACAAGTGTTGTACTTGATTGGCACCACACATGGCCAGCCCACCTAAGTCTACTCTCTCATTTTATCGCCTATTGGTGTCACGCCGAACTTATCTCGAATAGATTCATTTTGAATTCTATCCCGTCTTGTCTTGCCACTAATGCACCTCAAAATCCTCATCTCCGCTACACTAACACTATTGGGTATATTGTTTTTTGCCCACATAACATTCTGCCCCATAGCGCAAAGCTAGTCTCACTGCTGCAAAACTTGCCCTTCAGCCTCATTGGTATGCGGCGATCACATAAAATTTCAGTTACACATGTCCACTTTGCCCACCCAGCTCTAATACGGTATTCGACATCTACTTGATCTCTCCATTTTCTTAGATTATTGACCAAAGATATCGCAAGTGCAGTCTTTTTTGTACTTCTTGACAGTCAATGTTAACTACTTCCTCGTCTCTACCCTTATTATTATTAAAATTGTACTCATTATACTTTGTCTTAGTCCGATTAATTTTAAAACCTTTGGATTCTAGAACATCCCTTCGAAGCTTCAACTTTGTCTTGATGTTGTTTCGGGCCTCATCAATCAAAACTATGTCATCTACGAACAACATGCACCATGGTACCTCATCTTGTAGGTGCCTATTTAAGTCGTCTATAACTAAGACAAAGAGGTACGAGCTCAATGCTAACCCTTGATGTAGATATATTGTCACTGAAAACTCACTCGTCTCTCCACTAGTTGTTTTTATTTTTTTTGATGAAAGGTACTTGTTTTATATATTCCCATCAGTCAACTATTACAATCTATTATGAAAACATACAACTAACAAAACATAAAGAAAAGCAAAGAAATAAATAGAGAAAAAAACTCAAACAACAGCTACCCAAACTTTTCAACAACCAAATTGTTAACCGTCGCCCCCAACTTTGATGGTCCATCTGCCTCCATACTGCTTTCTTGATAGATATGACTGACAGTACATTCCAATTCCATACAGTGAGCATTCACTTCATCAATAAGATTCTGAAACTTCCATGGATATTCCGCGTCCGTATTTAACCATTTTACAACATTCATGGAGTCCCCTTCTATCTCCACTGGCCTTTTAAAAAATTTTACAAGTTTAACCCCCTGTAATACCGCTCAAAGCTCAGCCTCATTTGCAGTAACAACACCTATTGATTCAGGAAATTTCAAAAGAACTTTACCTTCCCAATCTCTAACTATTCCTCCGATACCTCCCTGACCAGGGTTTCACAAGGAACACCCATCAAAATTTAGTTTGATCCATTTCTAGGACACTTCCATAATCCTATCCTGATTTTCTTATCAGATTTCTCTCTAATTAACACACTAAGATTGTACATTATATCCACTCTAGAAACACCCCACCAAATTTCGTTAATGCTAACAAGCTCTACTACAGTCACACGATTTTTTTCTATCAGCTCATTAGTAGATAAACTTTTATTTTCAAAACTTCTATTCATTTCTTTCCAGATCTCCCACATCACCGTCACCCTTACAATTCTCCAAATAATTCTGCCTTTTTTACCCATACTAGTTATCAACCAATCTCCCAAAAGACTGTCAATCTCCACAGGACAGTTACCAATTAACTCCACCCATGCAAGCACCCATCTACAAATTGCTTTAGTAAAGGTGCAATTCAGAAACAAATGATCAATAGATTCTGCTTCTTTTTTGAAAAGGTTGCATACATTTACTAGAATTTGCCCTTTCTTTCTTAACATATCAATAGTTAAGATTCTACGAAGCTTTACTAACCATAACCAAGCAGGACTCTTTAACGGAATAGGCCACTTCTATAATTTTCCCGCATCTTTATCAGACCATCTAACTCTATCATCAAACAATAATTTGTAAGCTGAATTCACCGAGAAACAACCATTCTACTTGGCTCCCATACAATTCTGTCTTGTTTTTCAGGGCAATAAAAAACGCTCTGCAACACACTTAAACACCTCATATATTCATCTATAACCACATCACTAGCTGTTCTTACACTAGTTAGCACTCCATCGTACATTTCTCTCACCAAGTCGATGTAGTGTCTAGAGACGCCTTTCTTTTCCAACACCCGCCAAATCAAATCTCGAGGTACTCTATTATAAGCATTCTCTAGATCAATAAAGACCATGTGGAGGTCTTTTCCCTTTGCCCTAAACTTTTTAAATCAGTTGCCTAAGTAAGAAAATAGCCTCCGTTGTTGGCCTTCCTGACATAAAACCAAATTTGTTTTCAGATACACTTGTTTCATGCCTTAGTTGTTGCTCAATGACTCTCTCTTAGAACTTCATAGTATGGCTCATAAGCTTGATCCCTTGATAGTTTACACAATTCTGTATGTCTCTTTTGTTCTTGTAATTAGGTACCACAATACTTTTCCTCCATTCGTT